TTTCATCATATCAAACCTTAATTGGGGACATCCACGTGGCTCTTTCCCTGCTTAATACAATTGAATTCACAGAGTCCGGACTTCACCTTCTAGGCTGCAACTATGCTAGTATGTAGAGGTTTTGCTAGTGCTATACTGCTATTTGCATCCACAACATACCTGGAAAGCCTTAAATCATTAGTTGTTGTTTATTTTTCATTAAGCAATCTGAATGACTGAACTTAAGTTGGTGGACCACTGTATTTAGTTTTTAAACGGTTTGGTTTTTGATAAACAGTAAAGTGTTTAATTGAACCATTGGTCAATTATCCTAATTAAGTGGTTCAGACAAAAAAATTAGGGTCTGTTTGATTTGAATATTAGATCGATAAATCAGTTTATCGGTAAAATTGGAGGTTAGACTATAGAATTAAAAATTTATAGTCGGAGAAGAAGACACGAATTAAAAAAGTAGTTTCCACGGAGTATTCATATTTATTGCGTAATTACTAGCCTAACCCTATAAAATATTTATAGAAAAAAAAATTCCACACTAACAAATAACAAACAAACCCTTAATGATTAAATGTATTCAATCATTTCAGTGTGTATTCAATGATTAATTGAAAAAAAAAAAAAAATAATCCCTTAAAATCAATCAACAATATCTGACCGAGTCTAACAAAATAAGTTTGATTCAAATTAATTATTTTAACTAATCATTTGTTATAAATTCATAATGATAGGTACCTATTTCTGACTGCTTGGATCCGTCAGATTTGTGAGGAAATTTACGAAACTTATTGGACATGTTCATTGCGAGCCCGGTCCAGTTAGTGTGCTGCCCGGCCCAACAAAGAATTTCTTAAATGGTACGCCGTACGCGTTCTCATACTAGTATAAGAATTTAGTAATTACTAATTAGAATACGCGTACACAAACCAAATGTTAGCGTAAACATACCGCTACGCGGAGAAATACTGTTTTAACCGAATCATCAATCCGAGTACACTGCTTGTACGCGACCTTAGCGTAGAATTACCGCTAAGGCAAAGGGGGGAAATTGGATAGAAAAATTTGGGGAAGAAGATGCTTTGCAAGTTTTACGTTCGACGTGCTTCACTCCTCTCAGGTTATCGATAATCTCTACTTTTTCTTCTTCTTTGCTTAATGTTTTTGAGGGTTTTCATTGTTCTTTGAATTGAAATTTTTTTATATGTAAAGGTTGTGTGGTTTTGAATTGAAAGGTAATGAAAGACAAATTAACAACAATAACAATGGCGATGTTGAATAGTAGGATGAATGACCGTGGTGTGCATTTCGTCGTGGAAAGGTAATTACAAGTTGTCTATATTCTGTAATTACAAGTTGTGAAATCAAACCTTATCTATGCACAGAACATTATCGTTTTGGAACATTAAAATCTAAGGCAATCACTGCAACAATTCCTGCCCCAAGATGCACTGATTGTGAAACACATGTTATAAGACCAAGGTACTTCAACGGTTGCTTGACAAATTTCCTGATTCTATATAAGAATCTTGTTGCTGTGACCTTTTTTTTTTTTTTTTT